GACAAAGGAGAAATCACAAGAAGATCTAAAAGGGACGAGGACAAAGGGAAAAATCACAAGAAGATCTAAAAGAGGTGAGGACAAAGGAGAAATCCCAAAAAAAAGTCAGAGGGATGAACGGGTGATAAGGGAAATAAATCTGGGGTGAGATCAGAAAAATAAACAACACTTTTTCACTTTTTGTAAAAGCTGAGGAGAGAAATCTGGTGTTTAGAGACAGATGGAAGAAGGGATTTTAAAAAGGAGATGTGTGACCTCAGATAACCCCTGGGTGTCGCACAAGAGCAGCAGAGCAAAACACAAAAAGTCCTGCGAGTGTTGAGTGCTTTTCTCTCAGAATCAGAATCAGAATAAGGTTTATTGGCAAGTAGGTTTTTGACTTACAAAGAAATTTGCACAACACTTCTATGAGAAGCAAGGACATACAATGTAGAAATAAAAATATAGAACAGAAAATATAAAACTAAAAAGTACAATCTCTTTTGGAGAGAAGTAAAGCAAACTATAGAACAACTTGTTTCTAAAGAGATTCCTCTGGATCCTGTTTATTTCATTCTGGGTTTATTTCCCAAAAATATTAACTATACCAAATGTGAACAGTTATTGATCGATATATGTCTGTTACAATCTAAACGTCTAATTGCACTTTTCTGGAAGAAATCAGCAGCACCAACTATCAGACAAATGTTGACAACTTTACCACTGGAACGTATAACATATCTCCTAAAAGGAAAAAGTGATTTATTTGAAAATATATGGAGAGGACGAGGACAATTAAGTAATACCAGCTTGGAAATCTGGTTGATATTGTAACCAGTTTGTGTCTCTTGCTGAAAAAAGGGTTAAAGTATTCAAATGCAGATGTGTATCTGAGAGGATGTTTGTTTCTTGGTAAGGTTCTTGTATTTGTTTATATGGTATGTATAATTGTTGAAAATAATAAAAATATTGATGGGAAAAAAAGTACAATCTTTAAAATAATAATAATAATATCATTAGATTTAAATCTCTTTTTCGTTCCGTCACATTGCAAACTACCAAAGTTAAATTATATACATGATAGGTTTTTGATTCATATTCCCTTTTTTCTATAGGTCTACTTTCAAAAGATAAGAGTGGTTTGTTTATTTGTGGTTGGCTAAAGGGGGAAATTCATCTCTGCTTTCCATGAAAAATAGGAAAAAGGGTCACATGAAGAAGAACATGATGTTTGTGTGTGTTTGTGTGAGCAAACGCATTAGATGCTCCACAATATTGGTACACAATCAGAAACACAGACTCTTAATGAGCGTGGGAACTCAAAAAGGAACTTTGCCCTCGACAAAAAACACACACATCTAAGAAACTGTCCACAGGCCAACCAGCTGGAGACGAATGGCTCTCTCTGCTTTGTTTTCTGCCCTTTATAACCTATTTTCTTCAAAAATCAAACCATTTCTTTGCCACTCTTGCAGGACGTGAAGGTTTAAAAACGTACGCGAACCGATGTAAAAAATTACTTCAGTTTATTACGAACGTCAATAGCCATAATGCTGAACAGGACAAAGTACAAAAAATCAATAAATAAAAATAACAAATAAATAAATACATTAATTAATTAATTGATTGAAAAAAATATAAATATTTAATAAATAAATAAATATATTAAAAAAATATATATTAAAAATAAATTAAAAAATAAATAAAATACATTTCTCATAACTAAATAATTCCAATCAGCCGTCAATAAACACAATTTCTACACGGCTCTAACTCTGCCTTTCAAACCGGGTTTGTTTTGATTGGTAATAATACGTTTGTCCCTCTGGGACCCCCTCCCCCCCGTTACCTGCAGCTGCTGCTCCCTGAACATGTCGGGTCTGGGCGCGTTCAGGATGTCGTCGGCCAGCTGGGCCTGGCTGTCGATGTTGACCGGAGTGGTGGCTTTACTGGACAGGAAGCTGTTGTAGATTTCCCGGGCGCGCTGGGAGAGCTGAGGAGGGAG